TCTGATACGGTCCCACCTGATCCCTCTCCCCTCTCCGCGTTGCTCAGCTTGTCGACTTATACGAACCATTCGGACATACACGGACCTGCATGCTATTAGGAGTGTTTGTATTCTCCAGCCTTAATTTACAATGATAAAATTTTTATGTTGCATAGCAACTCTCTCCACATCAGCTTAAAACAACTATTCACCACTTTTTCCTCAAATTAATTCAAACTTATCTTGAGGATGGTAGCATTTCCTTCGCGTCACCAGATCGTCGTTGTGCTTCGGGCGTATTGCTGCTTGTGGCTAGAAGTTGCAGCACATCGTAAACCCCCACCTGCCGATCAGAATCCTGCAACGCTGACTGCAATATTTGGCGTAAAATGCCGCAAACACCGATTGATTCTGCTGAACGATCTTCGGTACGGTCCTCTGTCATCCAACGTCTATATTATGTCCCATTTGTGTGCCCCGTCTGTGCGCCCCGTCGGTACGCCCTGTAGGTGTGGGGTTTCCGGGGAAAGTTCGGAAATTCCCCTTTTCCAAGGAAGAAAAGCCAATGGTCTTATTAAAATTCAATGAGATTAATCGAAGACGCTAGCGAATTGATCCACTTCTTTCATGGCCATGGCCTCTGGGGAGGAACTCCACAATCGATCAGACGGTAACAGACAGACTCGACCTGCTGCTCAAGTGTCATCTTTACCACGACAACTACGGCTCGGATCACCGGGCTACCTTCTCAGAATGGATTCTAGACACTAAGCGTAACACCAATGCTAAGCCAAGGAAAGCCTTCGACCGAGTGGACTGGGAGAAGATTGGAATGGAGGTGCTGAGCCTTATGGGAAAACAAGGGGAGCTACATTCAGCCGAGGCGTTGGATGCAACAGTGGAAAAGCTCACCACTACGAAGGCAAGCGCGGTCGAAAAGCATACACCCGATCTACGACCTTCCCCGTACGCCAAACAATGTTTCACCGCCGACCTCAAGAGCTACCAAAACGAAGTGAATTGTCTACGGCGGAAAGTAGTCTACGCGGGGAAGAAGAGAAAGCCGGGAGGGCCAGGTCTGAGGACTTTGCAAGACGGATCAGATAACTTTTGACTCTATTCGTAAGATTTTTTTCCTCGGTGAAAGCGCTCCTTACCAAAGCTCGAGGCAAACTGAAATGGAGTAGACAACCGCAGCTGTACTTGGGTGATATAGTTAGCATGCGGTTAATAATTTTATGCAGATCGATGCGTCAGCCATCCGGAGAAATACACTGCAATTGCTATTGGCACACTCCGTAGTCAATTCAGGAATCGTTGATACTATTGGCCCCAGACAACAATGCTCTTATCCAGGGAATCAGCCGTCCTCGAGAAAGTTGAACATGTGGCTGAAGCCCCCGCAAGAGTAGCAGGTCTTAGGATGGCCACTGGGGGCTCTGTAACAACCACCGGCAGCGTCGCCCTAGGGGCACTTGTGAGAAAGACGAACGATTTCTTTCCGAGGCAGGAATGTCACATTCCAATACAAATACTCTAATTGATCATGGTGTCTAATATACATGATGTTCTTTCACTTGCACAAGGGCAAGAAGTGGCCTTGAAAAGAATTATAGGTCTTATTGGAAGCAAGATAAAAAGGGACACACGCAACACTCTATTACGGAATATAGTCTGCAGACGACGGGCGAGAGAACTTGATAAGCATGATGCTGTCCCGCCAAGGTGTTATCGGTAACCTCCCTATACGACGTTGACAAACACTTCGATCACACTGTTGAAAGTTCCGAGACCGTCGATAGGAGAAACAGATTCGGGACCATACACTTTGATGAAAAAGAGATCTATTGTTCCCCTGATCGCGACGGTCTTCGAAGAGTTCCATTGTGGGGGCCGTTTGGCTGATCAGGCCTTTTCGACATCCTCCAGAGCCAACTCTGAATGCTTCGTATCTTCATTGGCCAATCTCTTGTCGTGTACTTCAGAAACAGAGAGCGTCCGGAGTTCGGAATGGTAACCAGGGCTCTTCCAAGCCCTCGGTTCATTTTCGTAGAGCTCATTAACCTGCTCAAGGGCCAACCCCTTGGTCTCATAAATCATGGTGTATACGAACACGAATGCGATCCAGCAGAAGCTGCCCCAGATCCAGAATACATTGGACTGGGTTGGGCTGAGTGCTCCTGTGAGATATGGAGTGATGAAAGAAAGAAGCCAATTGAAGAACCAGTTCGCAGCAGTGGTCATAGAAAGACCTTTGGCACGCGTCTGAAGCGAGAAAATTTCCCCCGTGACAACCCAAGCGCAAGGGCCAAATGTGGATGCTTTGCGGATGTTAGCAAGGCCCTAGCTCATTATCGTGTTCACTTTACCGAAAAACGAGACGTATATGCAAATAAAAGCGAACTGGGCGCATTGTGAAGTGAAATTCGAGATCGGAGTTGCGGCGCCGCAAGCCGAAACGATGTATTGGGAGATACCCATCCCAATGGCCCCGATCAGAAGAACTGGGCGGCGTCCGAAATGGTCAATTGCCCAAAGGCCTGGAAGCGTCATGACTACATTGACACAGTTCACGATCACCTGCAAGATGAAAGAGTCGGGCAGGCCTTCAACGTTCTTGGCGAAGTAACTCGTACCATAATAGATGATGAAATTGATACCAACCAGTTGCTGGAGCGATTGGAGTATAATTCCAGTAATGGTGCGTTTACCAGTAGTACCCTTGAAGCATTCAATGTACGAAGCAGAGCCAAGGGACTGTTCATACTCCCAGTTGCTCTTCAACTCTGCGAGCTCGGAGATAATATCTGGATCATCGGGATTCAAGCGACGAAGGAAAACCAACGATTTCAGGGCTTCGGCTTCATCGCCTTTTTTGATCAGAAAGCGAGGGGTCTCTGGGAGAAAGAGCAGGCCTCCAGCCTTTTCCCAAGTCAGTTATGGATTCATTCGAATTGCAGTTTGCCAAGAGGGAAAAGCTCACCAGAATTATTGACCATGCGAATTGAATGGCAAGCGGGATGCGATAGCTTCCTGCGATCGAGTTAGTCTTCTTTGATCATTTATCAGCCCGAACATGCATGAGCAGATACCGCTGTCGTTCCGGTGTTGGGTTGCCCAGTTCACAATAGCGGCCAAGAAAAGGCCGATTGTGATGCAGAGCTGGTAGCATCCCACAACTGCGCCTCTGATCCATTTGGGTAGAGTTTCGGATTGGTACATGGGAACTATAAGCAATCAGCAACGGATACCTAAGCTGGGTTTCGCCGACTTAACACACCTTGGGCGGAAACTAAACCGACTCCGAGACCGGCGAAAAAGCGACCAGCAATGAACAGAGGTTGCGCTGTAGCAGCAGTTTGAAGAGCCACACCGAGATTAAAAGGCAGCATGACTGAGATGATGATTCCCCATCTTCTGCCGGTAATGTCTGCGATAATCCCCGCCGCGAGTGCGCCAACGAACGTTCCAACCGACAAAATAGAAACAATTAGGGAGATGCGGCCTTCGTTAGGATGATTGAATTCATCGAGCCAGTAGGGCATAGTCTGGATACCCGCGATGGTCCCGGTATCGTATCCATAGAGAATGCCGCCAAAGGACGCGAACAAGCCTACCAAGATGGCTGGCCATGCGGCTCCCTTTTCATTAGGGGGACGTTTGAATAACATCACCGTCGCTTAATGAGTTATCCAATTTAAAATTGTTGAACAAAGAAGGGAGAGAGATTACCCAAGTGCGATAAGATATTGACGAATGCGACAGTAGGCGCAGAGGGATAACAGTCCTAAAGTACTTAGGGGCCGGCCGTGCTAACCTGCTAACAATGAAAATATAGACTTGGCGGGAGATATTACCTGAGACGCAATCCAAGCCCTGATTCGTGAATTGCGCAGAGTCGACCTGGTCACCAAGACGGTCCGTGTGGGGTTGAATGACGCACTCCAAACCTTCCAAGAGAAAAAGCAAAAGGGCAAATTGGTGTATTCTTCGGGAGCGTGGCAATCGTGCAAGGGCCCCTCTAATGGCCCTTGCCCCTGCCATCCAGGCTTTTCAAAGCAACCAGGGAAATTGTGTGGAGCCTGCTCTGGGCACAAAATCAATTTGGGGCCAAAGGAAGTAGATGGCAAGTGTTGAACACTAAATCTACTTGATGATATCTCAGAACCTTAATGCGCCACTTAATGCATCTATTTCGACGCCCCATGATGCGGTGCATTTCGCAAATAAACCAACTGCAACCAATTTCTTGCATCATTCAGTTGCGATACGTTCGAAACCAATGGACGTCTGTACGGGCCGCGACGCTTCCCCGTGGAGAGATCCCCACACACACGGGGAGAGTTTCCAGGCCCCGCGAAGTTTCTTGGCCAGCCTGCTTTAGTCTTGGCGAGGGCATGGCTTGGTTTACATGTACCAACCAAACTTGAGAAACGCCAGAACCAGGACATCACGATCTTGGCAATCCGCTGATCCAGAATTACCGTGAAAGTTCGCAATGGAAGTCCCAGTATACGGCACTACGATAACAATGATAGCAAATTGTACAATGGGGAGCTGTACCTGCGGTTGGATGGCATGTTTTCTATGAGCTGAGTTGATTGTCATGCTCCTCGGTGAATTATCGGGGTATTCCGTGCCCACCAGGGACGGGGAGTGCGGAGACAGCCACCTTAAGTTACGTGTGGAGCAGAAGAACCTGGCCCCGGTACTTTTCAACTGTCTCAAGACTTGAGGGAACTCCTTGGATGGTTTTGTTTCTCTCGGCGAATCCTTGACGATGGACGACCACGGAGGACGCTACTCCGAGTTGGCGTGGCCCGGCCTGTTCACCGGCAGCCCGTCGATGGAGTTACCGGCCAGCCAAGGACTCGCTTCCCAATCCCGAGAAAATGTCCCGCCATGGCACTCCCGCCGTGGACGCCACCCGGGCCTGCCGGGAATCCACGTACCAGCCCCAACCTCGTGATTGGGGGACACAACCCGATTTGGGAAGTCAGTGTTACCGTCACCTCTTACATTAGTACTGGAACTGAAGAGGAGGCTTAAGAGGGCTGTGCAAATTATACAAGGCAATTGCTTTCTGTGCACATTTTACGGGTCGATATTTGCATGTATAAATACATATATCCAAGATATTTCAGCCATCATTGTGTTGCCCACGTTGCTATCTTGCTGCTCGGAATCTGTAACGAGTGCAAGTGGGCTTTAAACTGGGTTGTGGGTATCGAGTCGGTAAATTTGGCCAGTGGTGCCATTCCGGTTCCATAGGGTGAAATGATATTACAGAGGATATCGGTTGCACTGACGGCAGTATTATATAGCTTCTCGGACTATGTGAATTTGTTAGCGAGATGTCAAGCGTATGGTTGAAGGAAAGTGAGATGACAATAAACATACAAATTCAATTCCGTGGGCTTCCATTGAGCTCAGTTTCAATGATCGGCGAAGTTGAAGCGTTGACTTGGCGATGAACACAGAGTAACCGAAAGTCAAATCGGGTCGCTCGGAATATGATCGCAGGAAGCCATGATATACGCAAAGAAGCCAAACACGGTTCTGGATCCATCGCTGAGTGATGAATACGTCTGCCGCTTGTGTCTCACGCAGCCCCATGGCTAGAATAGCATTGCTATCGCCTCGGTCTCCTTGTCTGTCTCAAACCAGTCATATCCCTTGAATCTCTAAACTTGGCTGATCCTTTCTAGGCAGTCATATCGACAGTCCTTTGACCTCGGTAGCTTCCACAGCAATTAATGATATATTCGTCGATGACATCGAACAACTCCATCAGCCGAGCCAAGCCCATCATTCCCTCCGCATCCTTCTCGCTGTAAACAGTAACACCAGCAACTAGGCTGTGAGTTTTATTGTGAAGAAAGTCGTGTACGGAGCGCATGCTGAATCCTGGCTTCCCGAAAATGTTACTGGATGAAGTCGCTGGAGAGCGTATGCCCTATACAGTAGTAGTAGTAGTAGTAGTAGTAGTAGTAGTAGTAGTAGTAGATTTCATTTACCCCGACCTCTCGCTAAGTTGGATTATAAACCATATCCCACTAGGCTGGGTGCGGATTCGTATTTTAGTCTAGCTGGGAAATCAACTGGTTATGAGCCCGGATTGCACGACCTTTGAGCGCGCCGGTTCGATCCTCACAGTTTGCGTTCTTGAGCACCCAGAGCCACCAGAAGACGGCCTATGATTGGTCGCACAGCCAGGCAGCAGAGCTTCATACGCGCCCCCAGTAATTATCCGACCTAGAAACGTCTATGGGGCTTAGGGCGAAGTCGTCGCATCCAATCCAGTCGTGTTGCCTCTCGCTCAGAAACTGCTCGTTTCTTGCGCGTGTTCTTGTTGTTGCCTTTTCTTGGGAACCTGCCAGACGACCGTGGAAGTAGCGAGACAGGTGGAACATGATATCGACAACGAACGCTCGTTCGCATTGCCTTTTCTCGCGAGGATGTCAAGCTCGGCGAGTCCGTGCGAGTGTTGCGACCGGCATAAGTACCATGGCGAGTGGTCACCCTTGAGAGTGGAGGCTTGGAGGAGTCACACTGTAGTTGCACCATGTCGCAATAGGTCGCTAGTCTTGGACGGGGAGACCGGCGAATTGTTGGGGCCATTTCTATTAGAACGGTCGTGTGCCGAATGGGACATTCAGGTGGCTTGACTTGACCCCTTTTACATGTTTTCTAGACGCAGTGAAATCCCCGTGGAATATGCAATCGAGCCTAACCCTCTGCTCAATGCATCATTTTTTTGACCCTCTATTAAGTCATTCCATCTTCCACAGCCCATATCGAAAGGCAGAAATTCGCAGCATCGTGGGCCCTACCAAACAGATTCCTGTGTTTTGCCAACAAGATGTTATAATTGAAGGTATTTCACGCATAAATTGAGGGTCGCAGTATTTGCGCGCCACTCACGCATCCAGCACTATACTCGGGGAGTGAAAGCTTTACGGGACTTTCAACTGATTCTCAACGCTGAATTCATCACAAGATGTATTTCATCCAATGAAAATCCACACTCCGAAAGTGGGGCACCCCTACCCATGGGCACCACTTTCTACCTGGGCAAAGAACGAATCATCGATCCTACATTAACTTGCTATCTAGTGCAAGCGCTTTTTTTTTTTCATTATTTTATATAATCCCACGGAAATTTTCCCGGAATTCTTTGAATGACCAAAGTACACTACAATGTCTAAAAGCAGCAACCAAAAACGCTTCCAACTGAGAAAACAATGTCGAGAAGCCTTAGCGGCTCATATATGTATTTACCAACCCCTTCTGCTGCCCACACAAGCTGATATGCCTAGTTAACCGACTTCACCTCGTCGTCCCTCCCGAACGAGTCCGTCTTCAACCGCGGCCCGAAGATGGATACGCTTGGTCTGTCACGAACACGAATGCCGCTTTGCTCAAATCAAATCTAAGTAGTGCCACGATAAACCTTTACCAGAAAATATTGAAGGAGCTCGGTTCCTCACTCGAGGCTGTCAATCCGCATTCCAATACATGCGGCTTTCCAAAGGAGGTGAGCCCGTTGCTAGATGTCTCCATTTGTATAGCCCTTCTGACGGAGCA